TAAGGGGGGTATTCTTAGAGTTAAGGTGCTATTTTCGACAGTTATGGTGGTATCTTTGAATGTTTTTATCAGAAAGATTAAGAAAATGAAATGTAAGAGTAAAATCCAGCCAGAACCCAAAACAGACTGAACCTCTGACGTCTATATTTAATGACAACCTGCAGGTTATGAATTCTCATTTCTCGTATCCAACACAATCTAAAGTCTCTCTCCAGGAAACTTCTCAACCTCTCTGAAGCACACCTTCCTCTCAGCTTGTGATCAGTCTTACCTCGGCGATGGGCACCCCCTCCGGAGGGCGGCAGTGCAGAACGATCATCATGTTGATTGGAACCTCCTTCCCCTGGGGGTCCTGCTCAAAGTTCTTCCTCAGGTCTGTGAGGGAGATAAGAGCAGCTGTCAGGTGTCAAGTGTTACGGTCATTCGAACTAAACCCTCCCTACGACCTTCAAAAGCCTCGGGGAGGATCTGTGTTACATAATCTGAGGACAAGGTGGTTCAGAGGATACACCGAGTGGAAAAGTGCAGCAGGAAGTCTCGATCGTCCTAGGGATTCATGTGCGGAGAATAGCTGGAGGAAAGAGTGCTCAAACCTGGGTATGACTTAGCATTTCCTGTCCCCTGGTCTGGAGGTCAATGGTTTTCTGAATACGTTTTCGGTTGTTATCATGAAATAAAGTCTGTGGTTAACACAAGCTGGAGAGATTTTTATTCCACAACATAAAATACGTCAGTAAATACCCCGCTGGTGAATTTAAAAACAGAGGTTGATAACAAGTGTCTAAATGAGACGACTAAGTGCCATCAAGCCCAACAATAGCCACCTTTAGCTTAGCGGTGGTGACGTGAATTCATGTGACCGTGCTGTAGTTCCTTTATAGCCCAACATTAGCCACCTTTAGCTTAGCGGTGGTGACGTGAAGTCATGTGACCGTGCTGTAGTTCCTTTATAGCCCAACATTAGCCACCTTTAGCTTAGCGGTGGTGACGTGAAGTCATGTGACCGTGCTGTAGTTCCTTTATAGCCCAACATTAGCCACCTTTAGCTTAGCGGTGGTGACGTGAAGTCATGTGACCGTGCTGTAGTTCCTTTATAGCCCAACATTAGCCACCTTTAGCTTAGCGGTGGCGACGTGAAGTCATGTGACCGTGCTGTAGTTCCTTTATAGCCCAACATTAGCCACCTTTAGCTTAGCGGTGCTGACGTGAAGTCATGTGACCGTGTTGTAGTTCTTTTATAGCCCAACATTAGCCACCTTTAGCTTAGCGGTGGGGACGTGAAGTCATGTGACCGTGCTGTAGTTCCTTTATAGCCCAACATTAGCCACCTTTAGCTTAGCGGCGGTGACGTCATGTGACCGTGCTGTAGTTCCTTTATAGCCCAACATTAGCCTCCTTTAGCTTAGCGGTGGGGACGCGAAGTCATGTGACCGTGCTGTAGTTCCTTTATAGCCCAACATTAGCCACCTTTAGCTTAGCGGTGGGGACGTGAAGTCATGTGACCGTTAAAATCTCTTTAGCTTTGTTAACCAGAGACCTTATTTCAGCTTAACAACCCAAAATATATTCAACAAACACTGAGAAAGGAACAGGAAGTGCTTCAATCCTGAGTCATTTCAAGGTTTTAAGTCTCTTTGCAGACACCAGCTTCCTTTTGGAAACAAATCCATCTCCTCAGACTAACAGTGTTCTTGCTCAGTTCTTCATATCACCATACTGCAGATCTCATAATCTCTCTGAAACCTGGCCCTGATCTCTGAGATGTTTCTGTAAAACTCACAGGCGATGCGGACCGTGGCCTTGCGGCTCTTCGACGTCCCGAGATGGCTCCAGGCGACACAGAGACACCAATAATCCTCGGGCCCGTGGAAATCCTCCACTTGCTGCCGGGACACATTGATCATCACCTCCCGAACCTTCAGCCCTGAGACAACAGAACAGAGGAGGTTAGAAACTGGATATTACACACTTTTATCCAGAGAGACTTACAGTGGGCGATGAGGGAAAACATTCAGAACAACAAGGAATCCTTTAAGAACATAAGCTAAGGGATTAAGTTGGTATTTTAGAGAGATACAACACTTAGTGGAGAGCTTGTACCTTTATTTTTAGAGTGTAGAATGTTATTTCTACTTCAGTAAAGAGTCTCACGTGAGTTAGGGTTGTATTTTTGTGGTTTAAGTTGTTCTGCTGATTGTTTTTGGAGAGTGAAGGTGGTATTTGCTGAGTTAAATTGGAATTTTGGAGAGTTAAAGGTGGTATTTTGTGAGATAAGGAGGTATTTTTTGAGGGTTAAGGTGAAAATGTAGAGAGTTAAGGTGTTATTTTTAAGAGTTAAGATGGTATTTTGGTGGTTAAAACAGTACTTCTGATTGTTTTTGGAAAGTGGAGGTGAGTTAAGGTGGACATTTTGATAGTTAAGGTGGTATTTTGTGAGTTAAGGTGGACATTTGGAGAGTTAAGGTGGTATTTTGTGAGTTAAGGTGGACATTTGGAGAGTTAATGTGGTACTTTGTGAGTTAAGGTGGACATTTGGAGAGTTAAGGTGGACATTTGGAGAGTTAAGGTGGTATTTTGTGAGTTAAGGTGGACATTTGGAGAGTTAAGGTGGTATTTTGGAGAGTTAAGGTGGTATTTTGTGAGTTAAGGTGGACATTTGGAGAGTTAAGGTGGTATTTTGGAGAGTTAATGTGGTATTTTGTGAGTTAAGGTGGACATTTGGAGAGTTAAGGTGGACATTTGGAGAGTTAAGGTGGTATTTTGTGAGTTAAGGTGGACATTTGGAGAGTTAAGGTGGTATTTTGGAGAGTTAAGGTGGTATTTTGTGAGTTAAGGTGGACATTTGGAGAGTTAAGGTGGTATTTTGGAGAGTTAAGGTGGTATTTTGGAGAGTTAAGGTGGTATTTTGTGAGTTAAGGTGGACATTTGGAGAGTTAAGGTGGTATTTTGTGAGTTAAGGTGGACATTTGGAGTTAAGGTGGTTTTAGAGAGTTAAGATTGTACTTTGGAGAGTTAATGTTTTTTAGAGAGGTAAGATGGTAGTTCGGCGAGTTAAGGGGTGTACGGCCATGTTTTGCTTCTGAACTACAGAAGTTGCTGCAGTTATTTCTTACGCAGTATTTCGTCTTAAACCTGAGAAATGTCCCCTCATGACGGAGCAACATGAAATGTCCGAGGATTACTAAAGGTGTTATCATCCTAAAGAGGACATGAATATCAACATTTCATCCCAAGTATTTTCCAAATAGATGAAGTTGACATTTCACTCAATGGGTCACATCTTAAAGCCCTCTTTCTCTTTAAAGCACATCAAGCAGAACTGGAGCTAACGGATCAACTGGAGCAGGGAAGCTGTGCATTGTAAATAAGCGTCTTTACAGAATCCTTAATCAATACCTCGACACAAGCCAGTGATCAATGGGTATTATGGGATTACTTATGCATCGGTTCTGAGGAAAGGCTGACACAGCCCCCCCCCCTGGAGGTGTTAAGAATGAGTGATGCTTTAATGTTTAGGATCAGAGTCAGGTTTTTTACAAATTGACAAACCAGGATTTCAATATGCAAAAGAGTGAGCAGAGTATGACAACTGACTCTCACAAATATAATATGTCCAGGATAATAGTTGATAAGTGGTTGCAGAAATGTACACAAAATACAGAGGAATGTGAAAGATGATTAGTTTGAAACACATGTTGGAAGAGTTAGAAACACATTTTCCACGTAGGTCAGATTCTCGCAGAAATGTCCTGTTGCTCTTATTCTATTGCACTAAAGAAGAAACGTCTCTAAGGCAACACGCTGCCCCCAGTTGCACATGTTCGTCACCCTGTCATGTGTCTTTAGACGGCGATACATTTTGGAGGTGGTATTTGGTGAGTTA